CAAATTTCAATTTATAATATCTTTATCAAAATAATTTCAATATAAAAAATCTCTTTAATATAATTAAATAATTGATTATTAAAATCATTTTAATCATTTTTGAATATTGAAATAGTTTATTTATTGAAAAAATTATTTTGTAATTAAAATGAAAAATTGAAAGAGATCAAAAATCGCGATTTTTTTTTGGAAATACGTTAATATTAAACTGGGTATATAATCGGATAATTAGAAGTTATTTTATATGAATTTCTGATAGAGCACAGGTTTCCTGTTTGTGCATCTTTTTTACAAGTTTTACATCCTCGAGAGATCCATGGCTGACCATTATTATAACTCAAGCTAAACAAAACCTTCGGAGATTATTTACTAGTAATAAGATTTTTGACGGAATAAAAGTGAATATCGGAAGAAAGGGGGGTTGAAATTCAGGGGTCTTACCCGCGCTCCATCTTTCTTCTGCCATTAACAATATCGCTCGTTGGAGAAGGCGGTGGTCTGCCACGCAACACTAACACGGACAACGACATAAAAGATTATAGGACACACCAACCTGTTCTTTTGCAGCCCCTCGAACGAAAATGGAACTACCGATCCTTTCGTGTTGTGCTGGCTTTGTCATTCCCCGAAAATGGACTTGGTAAGGTTAAGTTTAATACCGAGATGTGATCATCCAGTATAAATGCTTTCGACTTCAAGCATTAATTACAACAATGCATGCAGCATGGGGACTTCGCGCAGAGCTGGCATTGAAGATCGAACGAACTGTCAGCTAGCTGTGTTATGATTCTTTTACAAGTACGGATTAAGAGGTACTACTGCCTTGTATATCGTCACTTTCTATATATAGGAGAATCATTCACGTTGTGGAAATAAAAGCTGAAATTCGCTTATGACTTTCCTGATACATTGCTTACTTGCTATACAAACAAATCATCTGTGATAACCATTACTCCTCGCTACTCAAAGCCTTATGTTATTGTCTAAAGTCAAAGTCAGGGGCCATATCTATTTAATTGTCATTTTGGTCAACTCTTTGATATGCATGCACATCTTGCGTTCCTATTTCTACGTCCCCCCACACGACAAGTTTGCAATTCAATACCCTAGTAGGAGAGAGAGAATTGTGAATATGAAGGCTTCAGGACTAATTTAAATAAAATATGAGGTATTCTTATATTTCGTCTAATAATATTCAATGTTAATATAGGAATAGTCTCAAATTTCAATAACTTGAAAATACAAATAATATAAGAATAACTTCAAATTTCAATAAAATACAAAGTAATTTATTATATTCTTATATTTGTATATTTTGTATATATATATTTCTGTATCTCTTTAGTAATATTCAATATCGAAGAAATATTCAATACTTCCAGTAATATAGAATCTGATACTATATATATCTGTATAATTGAAATATTCGATATATGTCACTGAATAGGCCTGTATACGGAATACAGGAAATACTAACGCAAACACTGTCTGGGACTACCCTTTGGAGCTGGTATGAATCGTATTATGATTGCGGTTTAACATTCCTCCGACTTTGAATTCTCCAAGTCTTTGACAAACATCCTGATCTTACATTAGGAAATTCTTCCATGTATCTTTTCCAGGTCCAATCTTGTTTGGAGTTCTATAGACCCTTTTGGAACAGCGAATTATGAGACTGGGCCAAAATTATGTGTATCTACCATTGGATTCTTCATGGTGTATCCTTCAGCCACATTATAGAGAATAGCACAACGGTTGAAGAAAGAATTCTGGTGGGTAAATTTATTTGCGGATGGTAAGGCGTTGAGGCGGCGGTCATAACTGATTCATAGTTCACGATATCTTCTCTCCTCTTGGGTTTTGTCTTTTGTCTTTGTCACCAATATTCCTTATTGCTTTCAGATTTAATTTAGGTATTTTCAAAGATTTTCTTTTACTTAGTCAAGCACCATACCCATACCATCCAAAGTAATAGCTCTATCAGGTCGGTTAAGATTTGTCGACAGCCTCCCACACTTCCAATACAGATTCTGATTCCAGTTATATAGTTTCTCCCTTCTGGTTTGACAGCTCGGCATGAAGTCAAACACTCTCGCTTCCAAAATTGTTCGCGATGGTACCGTCAAATGAAGCTTTCTTTGCTTGAGATGGATCCTCCAATCATCCTCGTGTATTTTCAGACCCTTTTAATTCCTGTCCCGAAAACCCCCATTCCATAATCTCACATATATGCATATATGTCCAATAACATAGCATAAGATGACCGCGATCAATCCGAGTGGAATGCCAAACATAATACCGAGGATTCCATAAGTGATATCTTTCATCCAGTACGAGAGACTTGGAAGACTTGTCGAGTTTTTTGAGGACATGTTTGTTTGTTTATTTGTTTGTTTTCAAGTCAAGGTTTAACAAGGTTTGTCAAAATCAGTAGATGGCTCGTAAATTTCGATTGCTGATGCGATAAAATTGAACGTTGTGGTTGTGCGATTGGATATGGATAATTCGACTTTCGAGGTGCCGGTTGATGGGGTCACGACAACTATTATACAAAGTTCAAACTAGGTGGAAGTTATGGATTGGTGAGGACGATGTGAAGGATCAATATAGCAGGTGCAATTAGTAGGTCGATATAGCCTCATCTAAAATCATCAATAGAACAACCCTCTCCACACCTATAACCTCTGAATCCTATTCGATGAAGCTACAACTTGGAAAGTTGAGTTATCAAGGTGTGAACTAAGTTTAGCCCATGAAAAGTACCCTGGCGTGAAATTGGGTAGTGGAAGCTAAGTTCCCTGGTTACCGTTAGTAGAGTAACTAAGAACGCCCAAGTCTCGTCATTTGTCTTCATAAAATTTCCTATCATTTGCTCGACCGTCAAACTTCATTACTTTAAAAAAATAAACTTGCTTGAGAGGCAATACAATTTCACATCATCACACACATATCAATTTTATCATCATCTTCAGCACCAAAGATCATTACATACAAATTAAATTCGCTTGAGAGGCAATACAAATTCACCTCATCACACACACATCAATTTCATCATCATCTTCAGCACCACATTCAGACAATGAAATACGAAACGTCTCCTGAGGAGGAGACAATATTGACGTACATCATCATGTACCTTATTTTCTCCATGTTAATTGGCCTCATTGTTTGGTGGTCGCGTCGCTATCCACGCCTCAGACTTAGAGATATCGAAGAAGGGGATCAGGAAATGGCCATCGATTTAAACATAGTCAGCAACAGAGTTGGCAACGCTTCTGAGGGATAAAGTGGACTGAGAACCGGAATTTAATTTCGAGAGAAAGAAAGGGCAGCATATAATAGGTGAGATCAGGGATCCTCATTTGTTGATTTTGATTCTTGCAACGAACTAATTCTCAAAGAAGCCTACAATGGAGTTATGGATTTCAATTTCAATTTCAGCCAGGATGGAGTATTTGATTCAATGATTATGTATATAAGAGGAGGAATAATACCCATGTAAGACATATCGAATCTAGATTGTAATCTACTGTTGGAGGCCGAGCCACATAGAGAGCATGGTAACAAACAGGATGAGGACATAGAGCGCTTGTAATCTTGGGGGAGTATCACGCGTGTATCGTGTATCACCGGTATCAAGGGATTATGTTAGTGAAGGAAAGCAAATAAATATAAATTTTCAACATTCTGGACTAAAATTTGACATTTGCTACTGCAGAGGGCTTTTTGGGGGGAGGGGAGGGGTAAGGTGCTGCGAGGCTTCCCCTGTAAACTGATATTCTAATTGAAATTGACGGTTCGCTCGAAAGAATTAGTGAGCATTTTAGATAACTTCAACCTACCCAATATATCAATATCTTACTCGAGTACGTTGAATTGAGAATCAAGAATCTATTATTATTCACTTCAAGTTGGCAGCTATTATTCACGCAAACGAAAAACCCGTGACTCAACGACTCTCTTAACCTAGTTGACTATTATTAGTTGTTCCAAGCTTTCGGCTACTACTAGTACATAAATCTTATTCACTAACCTTATTACAGTATTATGATTCAATTGGATCGCTAGTTGAATGAGCCAAATCTATGAGTCATGAATAGAATCTACAGTATTCCACGGACAACGAATGGGTAGACGACTCCAGAGGCCAGATAGGATACTACTAGTTCCAATATATAACATATCTTCTATACCTTGTAGGATTGGTCAGGGTAATATATAATTTTACGTGGATGAATTATACTCTGCCGTATGATTAAATAGACTATGATTCAGTAAGATGGCTAGCTAACCCAATAAGGAGAACTAGCGACACAACATTGCTGTACTATAATATCTGGGGTAATTTTAGTCCCCGGTCAAAGGGTTTATCTAACTTCCAGGAAAATCAAAAACCTCCTTCTCAACTACTTTCTACAACCATATTCAGACACAATTTTATACTCGTTTTCATACAAAGAGAATTTCAATACATCGTCGTCTTTCCAAATCCAAGATTTATAATACTACCGTTTCTTCCGAGCAACAAGGTGATAATTCTAGGACTGCGGGACTTGATATAGTCTCACCTCGACAACATTCTCCCTCCCTCCCTCATCCAAACTAGTCACCACCTCGACAACATTCTCCTCCTCGTCCTCATCAAACCAACACCTCGACAACACATTCTTATCGACCTCGTCAAGCTTGGCTTACAAGACTTGAGACCACGAACGACAATGTCGGAAGCACATCCGGACCCGATACACTCGGACAGCGATGAAGATATAAACACCGAACAAGTGATGAGTAGACGGGTAAAGGACGTCATTTTTGTCAAGGACGGGCATAAATGTGTGATCGCCAAGGGTAAGTAAGCCAAGAAAAAAAAAGGACTTCTGGTTAAAACATTGCCTAACATGACACAGACATCGGAATGCGCAAAGATGTTTGCTATCCATGGTATAAGGACTGCACGGACGAGAATCATCGAAAATTCTGCATCAACCCACATCCTCGCACACTCAAGTATGTGGATAAAACAAGCAAGAACCGGAGAGCTTTTATGAAAGCCCATCGACACGAGAGTGAAGGAGGATGGTGCTTACCACAAAATCACTATCGTCATTTCTCCAAATTCCCGCGAGGTAAGCATTGTCATACTTTACTTTACTGCTCGAGTATTTCGAGTGTAGTTGTCTTCTTTTATCTGCACGCTACCGCTCAACACTGGCTTATTCGTTGGTACTACATCATTAATGAACATCGACTTGAGCGTATGTTGCATATGATTGTGTTGGTTCGATTCAGGCTTTAGTCTCATAAACTTGAATCCACCATTTATGGGACCGAAACTGACACTTTGTCTAGAGATCATCGACAGCATACTAGGTCGCCTCGTGACAATCCCGGATGCCGCACTTGACCCCCTCGTCGTTACATGTAATTGGAAGAAGTTCTTTACCGGCTCACCGCACTTTACGATATACGAAGCTGGCAAGAACACTGATCCTTATGTAACCACCGAGGTCAGTACGCTCACTGAGACTAAGTGTGGTAGTTTGATGGTACTGCAAAAATTACACGAAAGTCGATTGGATGCAACATGCCTGCGAGTATGTAAAAGCTGGAACGATGTGGGACGAAACTTATTATATCAATTTAATAGTTACACCTTCCTAACCAATAATCCAACTTTCCATGGGAGCCCTCCGACTTGGATAGGCAAGGATGTTTGGGGACCATCGTCCTCGAAACCTTATCTCACGGCTGAGGACAAATCACGCCAAATTTTCGATTGCAGAATTAAGAAAGGTATCAGAGACATCGAGAGAGGAGTGAGAATCAAGAGTTTAGTAGGTTGGATATTTCATGATCCTTTCCTACGCTTCTTGTACACGATTGGCATCAAAAACGCAGCACTGCTTCGTACTCTGGAGTTCCGGGGTGAGTTTCGCTGTCACCAGTGCCGGAGAGGACACTTCTGTGATGATTGTCTGTTAGAAAGCTTACGAGTTTACATTCCCTTCATCAACAGATTCTGCCCTAAAGTACAGAAACTGGTCCTGTTCATCCTTTATCCATTAGAGGAGACGGAAAATTTCGAAGAAAAGTTCCTGCAATTCTTCGAAGGGGATCTTCGAAACTTGACATATATTACGGAGCTGGTAGTAGCGGATGTACCATCAAGCAGCGATATTATCAGAGAACGCACGATACCTCAACTTGCGAAACCCAGTCGATTATTTCCGGAAGAGAGCTTCACAATCAGACAACGACAGAACAGCCACGGATCTTTAGCAAATTGATCTATGGATTAGACTGACGGAACCCAAGTTTTGTGAATCTCAAAGGCTTGGGAGAGCTTGTGAATTGGCGTTGAGAGGTTCGTATCCGGGGAGCAATTTATGGTCGGCACATAGAAGGATCTACGGTGAATATTTGAGGTTGTGGTGAGGGATGATTTCTGCATAGGTCGTGGTAAAAAATAGTAATAAATCAATCTGTAACTTTTCATTCATGACTGCTTTGCATAAACATGTTCTCATATACTCGAACACGTCGCCAATGAAAGTCTCCTTTCTCGGCGAAGCAGGTGGAAGGAAATGAGTATGTAAATTTTGCAACGTTGGATCATCATCACAAGGCTGCCCAAAAACAGCTTGGACAACCCTGTTTCAGAATATCGAGACAAATTGTGTGTAATCCTAACTCATAGATGAATCGTTCACCCTTGCCCCTGGTCTTTAATGGTGCATAATTTTCATCCGGGGTGCGGCACTCGTTCTGTTTGGTGAAACCGTGAGCTTCATTTCATAGAAATAAAGTAAACCAAAGGTGGAATTTGTATGGTAGATTCCGGGATACCCTCAACAGGAGGGATTATTTGGGATGACTAGATGGGCGGTGAAGTAGAGTTTGGAAGATGTAAAAGCTGATGTTGAAGGTGTGCATCCAAGTCCATTAACTTCATAGTTCACACGTAATGGCCAAATCAGAAAAGGATTAATGTGCTTGAATCGATCGAAGATGTGATGGTCGTTGGCTGGACGGCTTACTTAGGCGTGTCGAATCTTGGCATTTATTCAATGGCGGCTGTTCAAATGACTTATTATTTGACCGGGTCAAGATCAAAAGCAGAAGTATTCCTCGTTCATTGCCAGTAATCGTGCGGGAAGGAAGATAGACACGGTAGGTTGGTAGTAAGTGGAATTGTCGCCGCCAAATCATACAGTCGAGTATCAGGACAAAGACATTGATATGACGAGAGAAAAAGGATAGGAATAATCATTTCGGATATCGCATCCTATTTTATCATTACTTCAGCGATCCGAAGCTTGCTCTCAACCGCATATATGACTCTGGTTGGCTTGGAGGTTTTACGGCCATTCGATTGCAGGGAAGTGTATTGGATATAAGATGGGATATAAGTTATAGTCCAAAGATTGATTGATATCAATTATTTCGTCTATCGTATGAAGGCTCGGTGTTCGCATCGAGGTTGTGCATCGTGGACATCCGGGAAATGTCAGAACTTCCAACGTTACCAATACTCTCAGGATTTGAATTCTGAAACCATGGTAACGTCTGAAATGGTAATGAATCAAGTCAACATTCGTTGTTGGACTCCTCAAACATCCGCATCTCGTAGTATATTCCAACTGGATATGGTATCCAGTTAACTACTCGAGTATCTGTACCTGCATTGCGAAGGAAATCTTCTTTTGTCAATCTGGGTCCCATCAACTTGCTGTTGGGACTCCGCAGATCTGAGGGCGAAGTCTGCGGAGAAGTCGGCAACCCCTTTACGTATCCTAGCCATCTCTCATCGCCGCAGCCTCTTTTCGCATTATCGAAATACAGCAATGCAATTGAAGCCTCCATAGAAAGGTTTGTGTTGTGTGGTCAAATGAGAAAGACCCAACATGGACGGCCACAAAACCTTGGAAGAAATGCAGTACCTAGGTTAACCCATGGCTGGTGGCTTATTAATACTATATTCAACCTCCAGCAAAATTGAATCAGTGTGCCACATTTATCTCCATCTACAACCAATTATATTTCGGGATAGCTTCATGTTTGTTTCATCTCGTATATATTCAGATCCTTTTAATGTACAATGACGTCCGTCCGTCGATGTCGGAAAATAAAATTCAAAATTCATGCAATTCATACATTTTTCTTATGTGCCTTGGAAATGCTAAAGTTGTGGCTAATGGGGGTTGGGTTGGGAGATGGGTAAATCTGCAGGTAGGTGCAACTTGTTCTTTTTTAGTTATTGATGTTGCTTTGTAGATACCTTCTACTTCTTCCTTTATTTCGCACTGTGTAAACATCTTTTTGATCTTTCAAATCCTCCTCCGTTTGAAGTAGTGAACGAGTGAATCATCATTTGAATCCGAATCATCGATATCTGGAAATTTGTCTCGAACCTTTACGAGTATATTGTATATTCCCTAATCATCCGTCAACACTACTGGAGACACTACTCGAGACACTACTCGAGTAGAAGACGCGCAATCCCAATACCATGATTACAACGCTCCCTCATGTGCTTCTTGCACTTATTTCAGTGGCTTTGGCAGCTCCAGCTCCAGCTCCAGCTCCACATCCTGTAGCTCAAGCGGTTCCTCATCCTATGATAACTCCACGAGCTTCTTTGACCGATAGGACAGTAGAAGAGAGGGGAGTAATTAGTTCAGTTGAATCATCCATCAAAGGTTTAGAAAACTATCTCACCAGTGTTCTCGGAACTTATCCTTCATATATTGCTAGCGGAATACCAAATTTCTTCCAAGACTTCCCAACTGGAAGTGCGGTGCAAAGTAGACTGGGGATTAGCGATGGTGATTTGGCAGCTGCCCCTACACAGGTGTTGAATATCCCGTAAGCTTCAAACCTCCTTTCTTTTTCACTCCAATGTAAATGTCATTAATCATCAAATAGAGGGTATGCGAATTGGACCAATGAAGGCTGGAACCTCCGCGTCCACGGAAATGTCTTCAAACAACCAAACATCTCCGAATCTAAACTTGACGAATTAGCAAACATATTCCTCGTCGGTACCTCAATCGAAGATCTTCCGGCGGCCCAACAAACTCAAGCCCGAAACCTCACTGCCGAGATTTTTATCGTACAACAGGGAAATGTAAACGTTTCATTCAGCCTAGAACCTGCCGCGTCTCAAGGCGGAGATGGAGAAAGTGATGGTGGCGGTGCGGTGACACCAGCTGGAGGAGCACAAAACATTACACTTGTGGGACAGACAACTGTAGAGGGTGACTACGATCAATTTATCCAAATCGCCAATGTTTCTGGATCGGGTGGATATCTTGCCCCTGGCAATGATACAACGGACATCCAACGATTGAATGTTTACACCGATGGCACACTTACCGGAAACGCAACATCTTATCTCGTCCCTGAGTCGGGTATTACCATCATTTCCGACATAGACGACATTCTTCGCGTAACCAAGATTTATGAGCCCGAAGAAGGTCTCCTGAATTCGTTCGCGAGACCATTCACACAATGGATGAACATGCCAGATATCTACGCCAACTGGTCTCGCAGTATTCCAAATCTTCACTTCCATTACCTTACCACCACCCCCGAGCAAGTAACTAGGAATTACATGCAATTTATCTACGACACCTACCCAGGAGGATCCTTTGACACTCGCCCCCTCAACTTCTCAGATGTATCCGCAACACTCTCGATTCGAAAGTTTTTACTCACCAAGATATTTGAGACCTATCCCAGTCGAAAATTTATCTTGATGGCCGATACTTCCAATTCTGATGTTATGAAAGATTACCCTGAGATGGTTACCGATTTTCCGGGTCAAGTCCAATGTATCTTCCTCCGTAACACATCTGCCACTGACAGTGGAGACAAATTCCCATACGAGACATCGGGCTTCAAGAATTTGGATCAATCACAATACATGTTCTTTTTGGTACCGGATGATCTCACGAATCTTGATATTGTCAATGGACAATGCTATAATTCTACCATTCCACAAAACGTTACCTTCAGTTTGCAAGGACTACCCTTTGGATTGAGTAAGAGCGGTTCTGGAAAGATGATGGTGATAGGTTGGAACCTAGTTTGGGTATCTATGCTAGGAGCTTTGATGGTTGGGTTGTAAAGATAAGATGAGATGAGATGAGATGAGACGATGCATTAAATAGGTGTTGGCGTTCGGGGTTTAGTTTTTCATATTAGATATAAAGATTCGCAAGATACCTAATATTGCATATATGATGATCCTTCGTTCTTCCTAAATTTTTATGCTTTCCTTTGTGAATGCCATACATTTGAAAGTACATGCCATGGTATTCAACTTGAAAAATAACAATCGGATCTTAATATTTAAAAAAAAAAAATGAGAACAACAGTATTTGGCATTATTATACTCGAGTATCATTTCTACTATCATAATCCAACCATGCATGCAGAGGGTAAGGTTATGTACAACTCAAATGACCAGCGTCATGAATGAAATCCTCACGTCAAACCAAGCCCATGTGCAAAGTAATACTCAAACCTATCTATGCACATGTTCTCCCTTAATTCATCAAACAGCCAATTACCATAACTCCCACAAAGAGCCAATAACACCACCTTACCCACCCTGCCTGCCTGTGTTTCCATCCACTTCAAGTCTTCAACCCATCGATCGCTAAATGACCAATTATTCTTCCCATTACTAATGAACGCCCAGAGATCATCATCCACCAAAAAAAACGATTATCTCACATTCCCTATCGTTGTTGTATCTGCGGTCCAAAATATTCCAGTCGGATTTAGCCTGGCGGGAGTCAAGTCAAGTGGCACTCCGCCTTCGGAGCGGATGGTGGGATGGTATGATTTTTGCATTGTGTATTCTTCGTCTGGGAAGGTGGATATATTGAGTAACAGTAAGATGTCGGGATAGAGATTAAATGGGATTTTTCAGGATTCGTCATTATCGGGGCAGTTGAGTACAAAATGTGTTTTATCTGCATCGGTCCCCAATCCATCATCGGTGTAGATCTGTGTCGCATGAGTATCTCCGATCGTCGAATAATTAGAATAGGTTTCGCTAGCTAGTGAAGCAAAAGCTTTCAGTCCAACCGCTGCTTTGATCGCGAGATTCGTTTCATTGGTGAGAAGTCCAGTAGCGTCATTGGTTGAAAGTTGGAGAGCGATGTTGAGAGATTTGGAAGGAAGATACGATGCATATTTATTCAGAAGGGTGTAATACTTTTCTGCCCAAGCAGTACTGTATTATTTGATGCTTTCTGGTAAGCGAGAGCGAGTATAAGTAAGTTTCCCGTTTCCTCTATTGGCATTACTTCTGCGACGCCATCATCATGACCGGTAGCGTTAGGGTAGGCGGAGCCGATATCGTGAATTACGTAGGGAAGAGTCCAGCGGCCGGAAGTAAGATATTGTAGTATCGGTTCGAGGAGGAGACGCAAAGGTTCTGGGTTTGTGACGTAGAGAACGGGGAATAGGGGCATGATGACATTTACGGTGTTGACATTTCCATCGCTTGAGATTTCCTTGACGAATGCGAGGACATCGTTGGTATCGAGTGTAGCGTTTAAAGACAAAGCTGTGATATCCGAGTAGTTTGTCCCGGCAACCTGAATTGCAGCTGCAGACAATTCAGAATCAATAGTTTGAGATTCACGCAATGCATCATCGTAATCCTCAAAGAAATGATTTAAAGCATTAATTGTTTTCGGATACGTCGCGCGATAATATAATATAAAAACAATATTATTAATAAAGCAAAAAGTGATTACAATCTTCTATATTTTCTTATCCTTAATTATTATAATTTCCTTAAACAAATGTTTAAGTTTTTTTTTATTGTTATAATTATAATTAAAAGAATCTTTATAAAAGTTTGGGTTTTTGTTTGTAATTGATATAATATTTCTTCTAATATTAGCAAACTTCTTTTTGGGGCAATCCTATATTATATAATCTTATTTTTTATATATATAATATAAACTAAAACAATACTTTTCTACTCTTTATTATTCTTTAATTAAATTCTTAAAAATGATTCTAAATATATCAATATTTATTAATTCATTAGTAGAGGCAACTTACTCAATAGTACAAAATGAAGCAAATATAATTGAATTAGATCTAAGGTAATATATGTTTTTTTTATATATCCTAATTCTAGATCTAAAATCTGTTTTTTCAATTTTGAATATTATTGGTAATATAAAGTAAGTAATCTATTATAATTATATTTTTAATCTAATAGTAATCTTTTATTTCAAGATTAATACTATCTTCCAATCGGACTTTTTTGCTATATCACTGAGCTTTTCTAAAGAAAAGTAAAAGAAAACAAAAAACTGTTTTTTTATTATTTTAAATTTATTAAATTTGATTGAAATATCTTTTTCTATATTAACAGAGATATAAAATCTATTAAGCTTTTCTAAAAAGATATTGATTGTTATAAATAGCAAAATATTGTTTAAAATAATCTAAATATCCTTTTGTCTTTTTTGTCTTATAGAACCCTCGAGTAATATAACAACATAAAAAAGCTTTTTTCTTTCGATATCGAAATAAATAATATCTTATTTCTATATTCGCAAAAAAAAAAAGTAAATATAGTACCAGGTGGCGTCAACATAAGCTTTGGCGGTTTAGGTGTAGGTCGCTTATTTTGGTACCAATAGCACCCCTGCAAAAAAAAATTGGCACTCTTTTGGCACCCCCGGCATCCTCAGCACCCCTGGCACCCTTTGGCACCCCTTGGTACCTCCGATACCCTTTAGCACTTCCTAGCATTTTCTAATATTATTAATATTATTATTATTAAAAAAAAAAAAAAACGCTTTTAATTTTGATAATATCAAATTAGTTTAATTTAATCTTTGAAAAAGCCTTTTTAACTAAGAGTTTTTTTTATACTATAG